TTTTTTGTTTTTGTTTTGTTTTGCTTTGTTTTGCCTCAGGGTACCAAAGATTTGTGGGGAACAGGAGGTTTGTGGGAAATAACCTGCTCAAAGTGCCATTCGGCTGTTTGGCCAGCAGCTTTACATATTTATAAGGGGAGAGTGGAGCATCTGCCCGAGTCGCCGGCTTTAATCTTGTCATTTCACTAACCCAATCAGGGACGGCCGGCGTGTTTGTCGAGTGGCGCTAAACCAAAGCTGAAAGCCTTTTTTAATGAAAGTGTGATCATGGTGCTTTTTAAAAATTAAATATATGCAACCAATCTAATCACCTAAATTTATGTCGCGTGCTGTTCAACCTGGCAAGGAATTTGGCTGGGTAGAAGAGATAAATTCTGTGGCAGAGGTACCCCGCACCACCCTCTTACCCCCCCCCCCCCCCCCCCCCGCTTCTTCTTCTTTTTAATGTAAGCCATGGCAGCCCTAATTAAATGGGGGAGTTTCATGGTCAGATTTTACCTTCTGCAAAAATATTTTTTGAATCATAAATTTCTCCTACATTGTTTGGTGCCACTGGCCTGGAAGAAAGATTTGGCAGCGGGTTCGCGGACAGATGACACCGAGCGATTAGCAAGCTGACTTCAGCTGCTGGCAGCCAGGTACTAAAAGAACATGCTAATGTCCTCCATTTTGACATGCTGGCTGGACTTTTTCTTTCTTTCTGAGAAGCTGGCGCTATTTATGATTCCATTTTTATCTCTTAAATGCCATGACAGATGGCAAATTCTTCAGCCAACTCTTCTGCCAGGAAACGCTGAGAGCTTGGAAGCGCCCGGTAATGGTGAAATCAGACCACGCGAGCACCCCCAGATGAACCACGGAGTCAGTCCCCACCTTTCTGGAGGGGAGCCGGCACCTTGGCCCTGCTCTCTCCTGTGGGGGTGGGGGTCGTAGAGCAAATGGACCCAGGGTGGGACTGCTTGATCCTCCGTCCATGACCCCACAGCATCTTCCCCTTGGGATGGAGTCCCTTCTAGCAAGGACCACCTTGGGAGAAGACTGGGGAGAGTATAGGGAGGTTTTTTTAGGTTAATGATTTCGGTTTTGTTTGGGGTGATGGGGGACCTTTGGAACATGATCTGGTCCACTTTGGCAGGAAGGAGCGGCCCTCGCCTTCTCACCTTGCTTCGCTGGTCCTGCCAGCCTCACGGTGCCGCACAACCCGGGCAGGAGCCCGCAGCCTGCCTTTCTCCAGCACCTCCCTCGGCTTTCCTCCTGGAAGTGGACCGATGCATTTGATCCTGGCATGCCTGGGAATTGCACCTCGTCACCGCTTAGGAGCTTTCGGTCAGCGCAGACAGCTGGGACCCTGGGCCTATTTTGGACTCTTGCCTGGTCCCTGGCCTGCCTGTCCTCATTCCGACCTGTGATGGCGGGCTGCCTGTTACAGGGTGGTCAGTGCCTCATCAGGTGGGCAGGCAGGGCGGGGTCAATTCTGTGGCCTCACAGAGGTCATGCATGCACACGGCGACGAACTGCAGTCAGCCTGAGCCCCAGCTTGGTGGCCCCCGGCAGCCGTCAAAAGTGGCTGCCTCAGATGGCGCCCCTGGCGCGTCATCTCACCTTTCACCTGGTTGTGCCTGGTCCTTGCCTCTTCCCTTTCCGCTTCTTCCTTCCCAGTTCATGGTTGGGGTACTTTCAAGGGGGATGCACAGTCTTTAATCCTACAATGAATAGTAAGGCTGAAAGCGCAGGTATCGCGGCTGAAAGGTGTACTGGACTCTAAGCGGCTGCTTTAAAACTTGCTGGGAGCACACTTCTCCGTACAGGGGTCTGGCAGGGATCGAGCCAGATGGGACATATGCTCCTGGAGGTGAACAGTGGAAAAGGAAGAAGTTCAAGGGAACACGGAAAGCAAAGCAAAGCAAGGCAGAAGAAAACACATGTTGCCACAGAGCCCGTTTTAGACCCAAAAACCAAACTGGTTTCTGTCCAGTTGTTTCGGACTCACGCAACACGGTAGGGCAGTACAGACCTGTCCCGCCCATTAAGGCTGTCGTCTTTGTCGAAGTAGTCTGCCACATCTCCCAACAGAGTAGCTGTAAACCTTTGGGTTTGCAGCCAAGCACTAGATGGGTGTACCCTCAGGCTCCTGAGTGTCCCTTACAGGATAGACTAGAACTTCCCAGGGCTCCCCCGGGCTGTGCTGTTTGTGGAAGGAATGCTTGGGGTGCAGCAGTTAAGGTGCTTGGCTGCTGACCCAAAGGTCATGGTCTGGTAAGAGCTTTACAGTCTTGGAAACCCTGTGAGGGGCAGTTCGATGCTGTCCTAGAGGGTTGCTACAAGTCAGAATGAACTTAATGGCAAAGGGTTTAGTTGGTTTGAATGTGTATGGAAGCAGACTACCTTTCCTTTCTGCGGTAGAGTGGCTGATGATGGATTCAAACTGCTACTCTTTTGATTAGCGACGTAGGTTAACTAGAGCCACAGAGAGCAGCTAGCCGCCCTCTGATTTTATCTGTACTCCGATGATAGACTCTAGAGAGGAAACAGGCAAAAGTAACAGGGAAATGACGAAATCAAGGCATGAGAGGTTCTGCCCGAGGGCTAGGACTTACCTCTCATGCATATAAAACGCATCTCAATGGGCAACGACATGAAGTAGAAAGTTGAAGAAGATACAGATGTGGTGTTTCTAAATTCACTGGTCACTATTTTTTCCCTGTTTTATAAGTAGCTAATTTCGTAAACACTCCTGTCCATGTGGTTGTCGTGATAATAAATCTACTTAGAATTTTGCTTTACCAAAGGACAACTATTTTGATCCAGCTGAAATTCTGAAGGTAATTCAATATCCTTACCCACACTGTAAAAGCAATGCTCTGGGGCAAGGCAGGTTTCATTCTTCACAAGTCCCGGCATGTGGAATGTTGGGTTTGACTTAGTAACTTTAACCTTGGTGACACAGATACCTTCTCCCTGGGTCCTGTGCATGCATTTGCCTCATAGGTGATATGGTCAACTCGATAAATAAAAGATTCCGTAATCGGGCCCTGCTCTTCAAAGCAAAGTCAGCCTCCAAACAAACTTACCTCCCTTCACTTAAGCCTGAAAGCTCTTCTCATGAGCCCTTTGCCTCTAACAAGCTGCTCCCCTCCTGCGCACAGAACCTGGCTCCCGGTCCCTTCATCCTCAGAAACCCAGCGTCAGCTCTCAAACCCTGAAGGACAGGGCACAATTTGCCAAGAATAAAGAACTTGCTAGCCAAAGAGGTCAGATTCATAAACAAATAGAAGCCCATCCCTACTCTAATTCGTAACAGGAACCTCCAAAGAGAATGCTTATGTGTCAGAATGCTCTTCCCACCAAAACATGTTTCATGCTACAATACGTTACTATAAAGTGTCATGGTGTTTTTATACCAGTAGAATATATGAAGAGTCATAGTGGCATAGTGGTTACGAGTTGGGCTTTGATCTAAAAGGTCAGTAGTTCAAAGCCATCAGGTGCTTTTTGGGAGAAAGATGGGGCTTTCTACTCTGGTAAAGAGTTATAGTCTCGGTATCCCCCAGGGGTAGTTCTACCCTGTATTATGGGGTCACTCTGAGTTGGCATCAACTTGGTGGAAGTGTTTTTGTGTGTTTTCTTAGACTATAAGAAAGGGCTTCAAAAATTTGTGGAAAAAATGGAATTAAAAGTTAATAGAATTTTCCCACAAACTTCTTGAAGCCCCCACATAAGAATGTATTCCAACTATTCTTAGCAACTACGATGCCTGGATCCATAAAGGTAGTCTATGATTATCTCTGAATATGCCTCTTTGGTCTATGGTGACTTTGTCGTTCTCAGTTAGGGGTAGCTGTTCTCTTACTTTCTGGAGTTTTAATAGTGTGTGTTGCTTGCATAATTTCATAATACTTTCAGTGATCATAAATACAAAAAGTAGACATTGAAACACTTTAGAGATCACTTAAGTTAGCTTAGCTTTATTTTGAGTGGCAGTGGTGAGTGAGATGTGATCAATAAAATCGGAAACATCAGGTGGCGTCACAGACCCAGGATTGTGCGAGAGATTTTGCTTACCACAAATTTATAGCTTTCTCTCTCCCTTTGTATCCATGTCCTCTTTCTTTGGTGGGTTGCTAAGCCATTGTTTATTGCACACTCTGCCAAGCAGAGAGTGTGGGCTCAGCAGACGTGGATGCTGGTCCCAGCTCTGTTCCCGACCTAGCTACTGCATCGTTTTTGGAATTTTCACCTGCAATTTTCTTTCCTTTTTTTTTTTTTAACTTTCCAAATGATGATAACAATCCTTCTCTTACATACCTCCCACAAATCTTTCAAGGGTAAAACATAAATGCATATGTAAATTGTAAAGGATTAGCACTTCAGGAAATGTTTTAGGGTTGGACAGTACTAAGCGACTATCTGGTCCATCCCATTCACTTTACAGTAGAATAAAAAAATGAGGCCAAGAGAGGCGTGTGAGGTAAGCCTAGAGAGCTGGGTAGTTTAATATGCCAGGAAGAAATTCACCATGAAAATGTATGAGTACAGTGGACTAGGCAAAATCGACGTACTCAGCAATTTACTGGATTGTTTTCCAGTTACCTATCTTCAAAGTTGATCTTATTGTGTCCCCATAAAGATGATACAATGACAACATTACAAATACATAGAAGGAGTGTAGTCCTCAGATGCATTTCATTGATCCAATGGGATGTGAAAATTCCTGTTTGGGGTCAGGGCCTGTGCAGAGGTGATTAACGCAGCCTCCTCCATCCCTCTGTCTCCCACCAATGTTGTTGAACAAATACTTTGGGGCGTAGAATGGTCAGTGGGTGTTTTTTGGTCATTGGCTTCACAGCAGACAAGAGTCCTTCTGAAAGGACTGCCCCTGCGTTTTCGTTTGAACCGCAACCCCACCTGTCCCTTAGTAAAGGTCTGTGTTGTTATCATTTCATTCCAGTCGATGGTGAAAGCAGATCCATGCTGAAGGCTGCCTTGCCTCTCTTTGTCAGATTCATTGTCAGCAATGGGCTGCGGACGAAGCCCGGGCTGCTGGAGGTCACGCTGGAGACGGTGGACAGAGCCTTGCCCGTGGTGACGAGGAACAAGGGGTTGAGACTAGTTGAAGGGGCCACGGGCCTGCTTTCCCCTGACCTCCTCCAGCTGATGGACCCCGACACTCCCCTGGAGAAACTCACCTTTCTCGTGGCCCAGCTCCCACAGCACGGCCAGCTCTACCTGCGCGGGACGGTGCTGCTGCAGCCCAGTTTCACGCAACAGGACGTCGACCGCAGGGCCGTGGCCTACAGGCACTCCGGAGGGGACTCCCAGATGGACCAGTTTACTTTTGTGGTCACCGATAGGACAAATCGAGGCTTTATTGTGGATGGGAGAGTGTGGCAAGAACCCATTTCATTCACCATTCAGGCAAGTATGGCAGACACACAGCTCGTGACCAGAGACGTGACTTCCGGGAGCCCGGTCTCCTTATTCTCTTCTCTCTTCTGTTCACTTTCCGCTTCTGCAGGCTGCCAGGCACAGGAAAAGAACTGGGCGGGCTACTTGTAAATAAGACAGGGGAACCGTTGCTTCTAGGCCAATGGTTGATCTTGAGAGTCAGTGGTCGTACAAGTTATCCCCGACAGATGACAGGATTCTGTACTGGAGATTCTGTCCTAAGTCCGTTCCGGACGTAATGAATGACTTTTTTGTTTTGTTTGGGTTTTATTATTATTGATTTTTATCATCCCATTTTATAGATTTGATCTTTCCTTGTCTTTAGGGGATGACAACACTACATATAAACATCCACGAACGAGCCTCTGAGAATGATAACAGCACAGCATGTGCAGCAGCCTTGTTTGTAGTACATATTACTGATGTAATTTGAAAAAACACTGTAAAAGAAAAACAAAACATGTCATCAAAAAGGTGTCATCAAGGCAAACAAAGAGAAGATATGGTTGCAAGTGTGACTCACTGTAACTCAAATACACCCTAAGTTAGGAGGTGGGGCTGCAAACGCCCGCGGACTGTGTGTGGACTCAGATGGACATAGACTGATAGGTTGGAATTTCTGCTTTGCTGACCTTAAAAGAATTCCTTAACTCCATGGGAGCTGCTTTTAGTTTTAAAATCAAGAAACAAAACAAAACAAAAAGTATGGGTATGCAGGTGTTGGTGGAGTCTGCACAGTTTCAACGCAGGTGACGCTAGAAGCAAACACTCCGAGGCCCTGCACCAACCTTGGTGTCTTCGAGTACACTCCTGCAGCCACTATTCAGTCCATCCTGTTGTGTGGGCCTCTACTTGACCAATTATGATGCCCTTCTCCCGAGACTGATTCCTCTTTTTGTGTGGGCCTCTACTTGACCAATTATGATGCCCTTCTCCCGAGACTGATTCCTCCTGATAATGTCCAAAGTACCTAAGATAAAAATCTCACCATCTTTGTTGCTGAGGAGCATACTGGTTGTCCTTGATCCAAAATAGATTTGTTAGCCCTTTGGTTGTCCATGGTACAACTCGTATATTCTTCACCGGCACCACAATTCAAAGGCATCCGCCTTCTTGGTGTCTCCCTTATTAATTATTAATGCTTTCCCATGTGTAGGAGGTGATTGACAAGATCTGTGGCTTGGATTAGGTACATGTTAGTCCTCAAAGAGACATCTATGTTTTTTTAAAAAATACGTGATAGATATGTTTTGCAGCAGACTTGGCCAATGCAATTTGTCCTTTGATTTTATTTTCTTTTGACTGCTGCTTCTGTGGACATTGATTGTGGATCCAAGTGAAATGAAGTCCTTTCTCAATTTATCATGCTGCTGCTCACTGGTCCACTTGTGAGGATTCCTGTTTTCTTTGTGTTGAAGTGGAATCCATACCAAACGTGGTAGTTTTTGAGCTTCATTAATAAGTGCTGCAAGTCCTCCTTGCTTCCAGCTAGCAAGGCCGTGTTATCTGCACTTTGTCAGCGAGTCTTCTTCCAATCTTGTTGTTGCTTTCTTCTTCGAGTCCAGTTTCTCAAAATATTTGGTTAGCATTCAGCTTGAGTAAGAATGGTGAGAGTGTAGCCCGTACATACATCTTTCCTGTTTTTAAGCCATGCGCAGGCATCCTTTTGCTTTGTTTAGTCAACTGGTCTAAACATTAGACTATTCATGAGCACAATTAAGGGTTCTGGAATTCCCACCCATATATGTCGCCCATATATGCTATGATTCACACAGTTGTACACTCAGTGAAACACATGTAAGCATCATTCTATTATCTGCTTTTGGCCAAAATGTATCTGATATCAGCAATAATATCCCTCATCCCATACCTTCTTCTGAATCAAGCTTACGTTTCTGGACTATTGAGAGCATTGGCATATTGCCTTGAGCAGCTTAGACATCCAATGGGCGGTGCGAATGGCTAAGATTCTGCTGTTCTCTGTAATTTCTCTGTAATATTGGAGGTCCACGTGTCTAGACACACCTTGGAAAAAAGGCCTGTGATCTGCTCTCTAAAGCACAACTACTGACAGCCCTTTGGAGCTCAGTTCTCCTCTGATACCTCGGATTGAATCAGCATTGACGAGAAGACAACCAGTTTACTATTACGCCAATGTCATCTACGGCCATTTTAATGGTTTTCAAACAGAGCCATGAAAACTTGGAAGGCTGTGAGTCGGAGCTGACTTGACAGCACCCAACAGCCGCAGCCACATCTCCACCCCTGTTGGGGAACTGTTACGCTACTGTCCAACAGGAAGGGTTTTCTTCCTTCTTTTGGCTTCAACTTGAACTTACAGATGAGCAATTCATGGTCTATTCCACAGTTGGTCCCTAGCCTCATTTTAGCTGCTGATAGTGAGCGTCTTCATTGTCTCTTCCCATGACTGTAGTCAATTTGATTTCTGTGTATTCCCTCTGGAGAAGTCCATGTGTCTAGCCATCATTTGTAATGTTGAGCAATGGTATTTGTGATGACGAAGGCCTTGGTCTTGTAAGATTCTGTCACACGGTTTATAGAAAAATTTAAAAGCCCATGAGAATGGACTATGATCTGAGTATATCCGACCTGAATTTTGAGAACATCTCAAGGTCAGGTTTGACTAATGGAATGTTAATGGCAGGAAACCTGATGAACAAGTGGAATGATGTTAAGACCATCATACCTGAAGAAAGTAGAAGGTTCCTAGAAAGACAGGAAAGAAAGAGAAAATCAAAGTGGGTGTCCAAAGAGACTCTGAAACCTGCTCTGAATTGTAGAGTAGCTGAAGCAAAAGGAAGATCTGATGAAGTGAAATCTGAACAGAAAACGTCAAAGGGCAGCTCAAGAAGACAAAGTGAAGTATTACAATGAAATAAGCAAAGCTCTACAGTTAGAAAACAAAAAAAAAACCAAGATGACATTCAGCATATCTTAAACTGAAAGAACTTGAGGAAAAATTCAACCCTCAAGGTACAACATTAAAAGATTCTAAGGGCAAAATAGTGAAGATGCAGGAAGCATCAAAAGAAGAGGGACTACTGTGGCCGTGTAAGAGGTTTGGAGGTAGGTAGTGCAAAGGTGTCCCGCTTTGTTCTTCTCTGTTAGAAGTTCTTTGCTTATCCTGGACCTCTTCCCTCTCCATATGAAGTTGGTAATGTTTTTCCATTTCTTTAAAGAATGAAGTTTGGGGTTCAGATTGGAATTGCATTGTTTTGTAGATTGCTTTAGGTAGTCTTGACATTTTCACAATGTTAAGTCCTTCTATCCATGAATGTGGAACATCCTTCTATTTGTGTAGGTCTCTTTTGGTTTCTTGTAATAATGTTCTGTAGTTTTCTTTGCATGGGTCTTTCGTTTCTTTGGTTTGGTTTATTCCTGGTATTTCACCTTTTGTGGGGCTATTGTAAATGGTACTGTTTTGCTCATATATGTTTTAGAGCTCTCTCCACTGGTATATAGGAATCCAATTTATTTCTGCTCGTTAATCTTGTATCCACAGCCTTTTTGTGGAGACCTTGGGGGTCCGCTCTCTGTAAAATCATATCTTCTGTAAATAGCAAGAATTTCATTTTCTTCTTTTCCCAATGGCATTCCCTCGATCTCTTTTTATTATCTAATGGGTCTCATTAAGACTTCCAGCATGATGTTGAATAAGAGTGGTGATAAGGTGCACCCTCGTTTAGTTCCTATTTTCAGGGGAAATTAAAACACTTCATTTCCCCATCAAGTGATATTGGCCATTGTCTGTTTTGTATGTGGCTTTTATTATGTTGAGGAGTTTCCCTTCTATTCTTGTTTTAGTGTTTTATTAGAAATGGTGTTGGATATTGTCAAATGCGTTTTCTGCATCTATGGATATGATCCTGTGGTTTATATTCTGTATCTTATTTATGTGGAAGATTACATTGATTGCTTTTAGAATATTGAACCATCCTTTCATCCTGATATGAGGCTCACTTTGTCATGATGAATTTTTGTTGTTGTTATGTTGTTGGGCTCTGTTGGCCAAGTGTTTTCATCTATGTTCATAGGGGATATTGGTCTATAGTTTTCTGTCTTTGTGGGGCCTTTGCCTGGTTTTGGAATCAGGGTTTTGCTGGGTTCATAGAATGAGTTTCAGAGTTTGCTGTTCCTTTCTATGTTCTGGAATAGTCTGTGTAGATTTGGTGACAGCTCTTCCCTGAATACTTGGTAGAATTCCCCTGTGAAGCAATCTGGTCTTGTGCTTTTTTGATGGCATTTTCTACTTCTTCTTTTGTTATGGGTCTGCTCGGGTTTCCTACATCTATCTGCCTTGATTTGGGTAGATGGTGTATTTCTAGGTATTTGTCTATTTCTTCTAGATTATCAAAGTACATAGTATTTGAACCTACATCTCTGTTCTAACTCACTATTTCCCACTCAATAGCTTCATAATTTGAAATCAAGTATTAGGAGCCCTGACGACATAGTGGGCACCCATTGAGTATGCTAACTGCAAATTCTCTCCTTGGAATTCGCCAGGCAGGAGTTTGGAGGCAGAACGATGAGGCCATCTGCTTTCAGAAAGATAAATACTCTCAGAACTCTGAAGGGCTCCTCTACTCTGTGCTCAAAGGTTGCTATGAGTCAGAATTGGCTCGATGGCAAGTGGATTTTAATTTTTTTAATCAGTACCTGGTCCTTACAGTGAAACAAGGATGCATTGTCAAATAATCACCTTTCACGTTTCCCTCCTCACTCTCCCTATTCTTATTTAGCAACTTTGCCAATTGTCCAAAGACATACCAACGAAGTGCGATGCAGTTTTGAACCCCATACACCCCTGTTTCTGTAATTCACAAAACTTGGAGATGGGCAATCTTCCTGTGGAGCCCACATTAACTTTGTTGGTTTTTTTTAATCGTTTTATTAGGATTAACTTTGCAATGTGATTTTGGAGGGCCTAATTGATTCACTCAGAAGATAGTAATAGAACTAGTATTCCGACCCTCTGCCAGGTGCAGGGGACAGAGAGAAGAGAAACAAAACAGAAAGCACAAAATTGGGTCAAAGTTTTCTAATAGCAAGATGGCCTCTGTTCTAAGCCCTGAGAGACGCGGAGAGGGCTGTGGACAGGACAGAGGCTTTACTTTCACCGTCTACATCCAGGTCTTTAGCAGGAACTATCGAAAGAGGAGGATCAGGAATTTGCAGCTTGGGGAGAGTTTCATTGTCCTGGCTGCACCATTAAGAGCTCTAGGATACACGGGAGGGAGAAGCCTTTGTTCACGTGGCATGTCGTTGACAATGCAGGTGGACCAGTTGGACAAAACAGCTCCCCGGATCACACGCTTGTATCCCCCCTCTCCGGTGGGACTCCTGAACAATGGCCGCTATGGGATTTACATCACATCCCACGTGCTGAAGGCCTCAGACCTGGACACCCAGGATGAGCAGATCATCTTTCAGATTTTGCGAGGCCCACAGCACGGACATCTGGAGAACACAACAACAGGTACCGGCTTCCTTAATCTTTGTAATTGCTCATTGAAACTACCCAGTGGCTGACAGCGCTGGAGAGTAATTTAATTAAGGGCATGCCCAGTTGGTAAACACTCCCTAGGGTTTCTGAGAGAGTGCTGGTGCCGAAGCCCAGTTTCCTAAATCCATCTTGAGGGGGAGAAGCAAATAGGGGTTCACAGCTGTTTATTATCTTCAGCCTTCTATTTATTTATTTTTTAATGTCCTGATTGTAACAGACTCAGAGGAACACAGAGTGTCAAGACCAAATTCCTATTTTAACTGATTTGTGCATCTGCCTTGAATTCTAAATGGTGTCAGTTTATTTTAAAAATCTGTGCTTCCTCCCCACCTCCCCTCCCCACTGCCCCCTGACAATCTCCCTGGCTGGTATATTTCTGACGTTGAAGAAAATGATTATGTTATCACTAAACAGTATGGTACAGGTGTACCAAATTGTCTATCCAGTGTGCAGGATAGTTGCAATAAGGTGAATTTCTTAAACAGATGTGTGTTGTGCTTTAAAGCACAATCAGCTGTGATTTAATGTTTTGTGTGATCACCCATGAGATTATTATTTATTATTATTTTTGGTAGGTGAATTTATCCGGGAAAAATTTAGCCAGAAGGATTTAAACAGTAAGAGCATCCTTTACATCATGAATCCATCTCTGGAAGTAACGTCTGATGCTGTGGAGTTTCAGATCATGGATGATACAGGGAACGCTGGCCCTCCTCAAATGTAACTGATTTTGCTTATTTGCTTGATAGTCCTGCTTAGAATGCCCAGAATAGATCTGATGAAGAAAAGTGCAAGTGTTTTCTTCCAGGTGGTACCTAAGCGGATAAACCAATAGGCTATTTCCCAGATCACAGGATTTGTTTCAGACAGGGAGGTTTTTTATTATTGCCATTATTGTTTGCTAGGAGAACAGCCTTTCATTTTACAGAGTATGGAAACGTTAAAAAATGCAGTCACTGTCACACCGACAGGCTTCTGTCCGACCATTGACTCGGGCCCAATCTGAGCTTGCAGGCTCCTGGTGAAATGGTGCAGCACAGGATTAATAAGGGCCAAGTTGGTCACCACAACTTCTTAAAAATAGCTTCTCTTGCCCTTACAAAAATATGACTGCTGCAATTGCTTTTATAAGTGAATAAATCCATCCTAGGGGACTGAAAACAGTGTAGCGAGAACAAAAGGGGCTTGGAGAGGTGTTAGGCCTGAATTTAGCACAGAATTTAGATGGCCTGGATTTGAGAAGAGTCACAGATCTCTAAAAGCAACCAGATTAACAGGCCACCATGCTTACTTACCCTCACTCAGCCCCTGTGCGAGGGATTTGGGCGATGGAGACCTTGAAAAGCCATTTACCAGCCTGCAGATGATCGCAGGAAGGTTCATCCTGGTTCACTTCATACATGGCTCTCATTGGACGCCCTTCCCAGCATTACAGACACGCATAGGGCGTGCAGGCCCATCACTGGCCATATGGTGGCATCTGGACCCCTGGACTTTTGCTTTCCCTCTCCGATCCTACATTGTAATCTCACCACTAGCCAGCAGAGGTCTCTGTGGTCATTGTTAGGAAAAATTGACTTCCAACAATACACGTCCCATACATCCTTGCTTCAGGAGCCCCCTTGCCTTAGACCTCCACAGATCCCAACTGGGTGGTGACTGGGCGCCAGACACACTGTGCTAGGAGCTGGGTTAAGAAGGATGACCTGGCCCCTGACACTCACATGCGAGATCCTGAAATTACATATAAAACCCACTATGCCGCTCTTTCCGCAGAGAAATGATTCTTCAGGGTCAAACTCTTTGGAGAGAAAAAAAATACTACTCGCAATTTCGGACAAACATCTCCCAATACTCAAGAAAAACGTCTCTTAAAAAAAAAACCCAGCTCCCAACCCTTTGATGGGCTGCTCTCACTTTATAAAAGAGTTGTTGCTTTAATCGTTCCACTAAACGGTGCTCGGCCACGTCTAAGGCTGCCTTCTGGCCCCTTCACCTGTGATCCAGGCTGAGCTGATGGGCACCTTTCCTTCCTTGGTGCGACCAAAGGTGTGGCTTTAAAAGGTGACTTCTCACTGCCATCAAGTCAATGCTGACTCATAGTGACCTGGGTGGGGCTTTAAAAGGTGACTTCTCACTGCCATCAAGTCAATGCTGACTCATAGTGACCTGGGTGGGGCTTTAAAAGGTGACTTCTCACTGCCATCAAGTCAATGCTGACTCATAGTGACCTGGGTGGGTTTCTGAAATTAGAACTGTTTATGGGAGTAGAAAGCCCAGCCTTTCATCCCCGGAGAGGCTGGTGGTGGTTTTGAACTGCCCACCATGCAGATCGCAGCCCAGCACAGAACCACTATACCACCAGGGCTCCTTCCAGCCATCTCATGGGTTTTCCATGAGAAATATCTGCACAGGTAAGATGCCCGGGGCGTAGGAGGTGCTCAGCAAACGAGCCCGTCTCTGCCTCTCCATGAGCCGAGCACAGAACCTGGCGTGTCTGCGGCACTCATTATTGCTGCGTCATGCTCCGCGAGTGGCCGTGCCCCCTTTGTGATTCTAACAGTTCTTCACGCGTCCTTCAGAGGTGGGGGCCACGGTAGATGCTCGAGGAGATTTTGCCAAACAGATCACTTTTATGGCCACTTCTGCTTCTAAAGAACATCCTCATTGGTGGCGAGAAAGCAATCACCTGAAAGGTACAATTGTTGGACATCAGGGGTCTTTACGAGCCCTGGTGGCCCGATGGTGACGCGCTGGGCCACTAACCAAAAGCTTGGTGGTTTGAGTTTGAAGGCACCATCCACTTTCCAGGGTCCGTTTCCTTTATTTGCCAAGTGAAGTTCAAGACCAGCTACCTCACGGGGTTTTTATGAGGATCAGTTCCATCCATGTGTGGAAGATACCAGTGCATAGTAGGAACTCAGCAAGAAAGGCTCAGTGCTTTGTGGGTTTTTGCAACAAGCCCTGGTGGCACCCTGGCTCAGTGGTTGCTTTTCTGCTTGAGCCCACCCCGTGGCTCGGGGGCGGGGGGTTCTGCTTCTGTAAACTGGCACAGCCCAGCATCCCTCTGGGCTAGTTCCGCACAGTCGCCTCGGATGACGATGAATTGAACAACGAGGCAGGGTTCCCCTTGTGTAATTCTAGCCCTCGTTGAGACAGCTGGAGATAGGCCCCCGCTTGTCTTCCAGACCCGTTTAATGTGCCTGTTAGAGAAGTTCCTAATTCAACTTGAATTAGAAAGCACAAAGCACTGAGCCTTTCTTGCTGAGTTCCTACTACGCACTGGTATCTTCCATACATGGATGGAACTGATCCTCATAAAAACCCCGTGAGGTAGCTGGTCTTGAACTTCACTTGGCAAATAAAGTGAAATGACTGGGCTTGATGGAGCAACACGATGCCGAGAACGCCTGTTAAGGGTTAATCCAAAATAGAATCTTGATTGGATTCTGACATGTAGTAGGTTATTTTTATTGGAGCAGGTGGGGGGAAGGTGGACATTACTCAGCATTTATCTTTATGTTTTGAATGGTTGTCAAAACGTTCCATTGTATGTGTGTGTACAGGTGCATGTACACACACACACACACACACATCTAGCTCATAGGTGACTGTGACAACTAAATGAATGCAACACAACAAAGCAGAAAGCAGTCCTGGTGCAAATACCCCACGTGTAATTTCTATTGTGCATGCAGCAGGCTCTTCATGGCTGTCGGTCTACTTAAAAATGCATCTATTAGGAGCGCAGTTCCCAGTATAAAAGCAAGCTTTTGAGTCATGTGCTGTCCTCGCAAGACAGCCGTAGCCTTATGGGCTCGAGACAATGAAAATCCGAAGTTACCTCGAAGGATGCTGAGGCACAGAGATGTGAAGGGCTTCTGAGCTTCTGCCAGAACAAAGGGTCAGGCCTAAGGATCCTGCCCGAGTCCCTGGCCGTCCTCACTGCAAGATCGGTTCAGCCATGCTCAGCGGCTGTGCTGACCTGAGCTCAACTGCCCATCGCCCTTGTTTCTCTGCAGACATTGGCTGCACATTAAAGGGCACCTGGATGATGGCTCAGGTCCATCCTGTGCCTGCCACGCTGGAGATTTTTAGATGGCTCATACGTCACTGGCCTCGTAGCCAAAGATAGGGTCTGCGCTTTATTTTGCCATTTACTTAGGTGATTGTCCTGATCCTGGTCATCTCCTATTTACATAGCATATAAACAATGCGGCCAATACCACATTTTGTTTAGATGAGCCAACCAGATAAAAAAATATAAGAGCATCCTGTATACGACAAAGTCCTTTGTATTTGTGGTGGTGAGTCTATTCTTGCTGACTCATGTGAGCCCAAGGATTAACCATATCAAGAAATGTCCCAGCAACATTTAGTGGCCAGCTAACACCCACCTCTACTTAGACATGGTTTCTGGGCTGAGTCACAAAGTAAGTCAATCTGCTTCTTAGTCAATAAGCAAAAACGATATGGGACTTTGTGTTCTTCTTGGGCTGAGACTGGGCCAAGAGATTTATATTCTGCCTGTTCTTCTTTAAAAAAGCCAAAGAGTAGACCAGCGAGGGGCTTAAAAAAAAAATTTTACTGGGGGCTCGTATAGCTCTTATCACAATCCATCCATTGTGTCAAGCACATTTGTACATTTGTTGCCATCATC